TGACCCTACGTCCGTCGGTGCTGAGCCAACAACTACAGCAGTAGCCGTCCATAAAGAGGTGACCACAAGGAGGGGCGCCAGCAGTGATCAACGGGATGACATTCGAGAGGGAAACAGGCTCCCAGACGGGATGATGTCATTAACAGCTCGCACATGGAGGTTCCTAGGTGGAACGTTAATCGATGTCTGACATACCTAGAGCACGGCCAAGCGTGCAACTGCAGCCCAGTGACCCCTGGTGCTCTTCACCTGCACCGCCTTAATCTCAGCTCGCCGCAATCCTCAGGCGTTAATTCGATACCGAAGGGAAAAGCGGCCGACGGTCAAAGAAGGTGCAACAATTTCACCAAGAATTGGCTGAATTCTGGCTGCTGCGGTGAAAACAGGGCAAAGGGTTCAGTTTGTATAATTTTAACCTCCTGTTGGGCGAGCGCAGCGAGCATATAAATACCGAAGAGGGTTGTTGCCTTCATGCTGCCTGAAAACTTCCTACTTGTCCCCAAAAAGCACACGCCGCAGGCTGTCTCCCCCCGTGGGCTCCCTCGCCAGCGAGGGCTGAGCCAGATGGGGCACGGTGGTGGTTTTGGTGACGTTGGTATCTCCTTTCTGCGGGTCAGGCCAAGCCCAAAGCTGTTCAGCAGACGGGGAGCGGTACCTGGAGGGCAACCACCGCTGGTGCCTGCACACCAGAGCGGAACCCAGGGTGGCAAAGGTGGCCCAGGTCCCTTCTCGGTGCGGGATCCCGGGATCCGAGTCGACCGGAGGATGTGGGAGAATCTGGATCACGAAGAAGAGCGAGCAGCATCCTGGGCTTGGTGCGCACTGCCCAGCTCAGCAGACATCTGCTCCTGGTGGCCACATCCAGTCCCTTCCCTCCAGCTTGCCACCGCTCAGCCACAGCCTGTTTCTTCCAAATTCTCTTCCAGCTGCAGCGGTCTGCAGCTCAGAGCTCTGCTTAAAGGCCTTTGGTGCATTTCTCTTCCCAGAACTTGTCCCGTTCCTCTTCAGCAACCCCAACATCCTGAGGAGATGACTTCTGCAGCTCAGCTCTGCGCTGCCTCGAGAACCATCCTCTCCGTCTTCATCCTGAACCTGCCGTCTGGGCTTCCCGCGACCTGCCGTGACGAGCATCCTCTAGACCAGGACCTGTGCTTGCTCCGAAACGAGGTCTGGAAACCATCTCCAAATCCTGTCCACCTCTTCCCAATAGGGACTGATGGCCTCAGACTTGCTGCGTCTCTGCCAGCAGGGCCCTTCGAAGCATTCCCTCTGGCGACGGCTTCACAAACCTCCTGCTCCTCAGGACCCCAGCACAGATCCAGACATCGCTGTGAGCAACAGAGAGGGGTTTGCCAGCCCCTTTTCACCAGGGGACCGCAGATTCGGTGGTTCTTGGCACTGTCTGAACCTACCCCCAAACCCTGGGATGTCACCTCAAGTCTCTGGGATGGTGGAACGGGAGGTGTCACCCCCGACGTGCCCAACCCTGAAGATCAAAGCAAGGGTCTGACCAGAACTGGCTGCCCAGAGGCAGGCAGAGGAGGAGGAGAAGGCGAGGAAGCCGAATTCCCAGCAGACGCTCCTCGACACACAGGCAAGGGTTCTCCAGGAAATCCAAACGCAGGGAAACGGTCCAACGCCCGCGGATGGAATCGCTTGGAATTGTATGTGGCAAAAGTTGTACAACGGCCTTTTCTAAAGGCACCGGCCTCTTGAAATGGGAAAACCAAGGTGCCTGAAACGCTGCAGCCCTCTCCCAAAAAAGCAGAAGAGGGCTGTTTGGATCCTTCTTTGCAGCCTCCACTCCCTGAGCGAGTGATTTCATTCTCCAGCCAACTTCTACGGCAAAACTTTCCTTCTCCACAGAGGCTTCGAAAGCCGAGCTCCGTCCCCCTCATCTTACAAACACACACGGCAACGTCACAAGTTGAGTGTGGAGTGGCAAAAGATTTTATTATACAGTTAGTAAAAAGCTTTTTTTTCTCTTTTTTTCAAAGATGTGGAGGGACACAGCTCCCTCCTGCAGGGTCACCTGCTGATTACGCCTTCAAAGTGCTACATTACAACTGTGAAAATACCGGCACTTCACAGCAGAAAACCGTAACGTGCGCTTGTACCGAGTGTGAAGTGGTGATAAAGCGGCACTTTCACAAGAGTGATTCGAGGTGAAAAGGCCAAGTGTGCAAGCCATTGCTAAAAAGTAGTGGGAAAACATGTGCAGAGTTTTGCAGGCAAGTAAAGCATCAGAGGAGAGGGCCTTGGTACGGATGCTGCTGGTTTGAGATCTCACAGACTTCCTCGGAATCACGTGCCCTCTCTCTTTAACCAATTTTTGGACAGATTCTGCAGGGTGGTTACGCACACTCACGTACTCTGCTTTGCGATACGTATTCTGCTTTATTTCAGCCCAATAGTCAGTAGTAAACACGAGCCTTTTAACAAGGTGAAAGGCTTTGGGGAGATTTTCACACCCGCTGCAAATAAAGAGCGATTCTTAGTGCTGAAAACTGCCGCTTTCACAGGGAGGTGGCAGGTCCCTGCAAAGCCCTCACTGACAAAATTATGAAAGCTGAGGGGGAAAAAAACCCCAGCTTATTTGGGACTGTTGATGGGGAATTCCAGCTTTTTCTCCTGGAAGACCAGCCCCCACGTCCCCTCTCCCAGCAGAGGAGGTCAAGTGCATTTAAGAGCATTGATGGATGAAGCGCTGGGCACTGAGCAAGCGACGACTATCTCAGGTTCACCGGGAGAGCAGCCCCGTCAGACCCAAATCAACACCTCGCTATTGCAGGTATTTATTGTCCTTATCGTTTAAGGGAGGCACTTCTTGCATTTTTGGGCAAAGGGAAAGCGTCAGGAGGGAGGAGCAGCCACTCGCCCCGTCGTGGGGCCGACGGGACCCTTCCCATCGCTGCGCTTTGCGGCCAGGACCTGGGGAGCTCAACTCCCCTCCTGCTCCCCTGCCAGCAGGAAGGTCATAGGATCACCGCATGGCCGGGGTTGGAAGGGACCTCTGGAGATCATCTGGTGACAGCCCCCTGCTAAAGCAGGGTCACCTACCGCAGGTCACACAGGATCGTGCCCAGGTGGGTTTTGGTTATCCCCTGGGAAGGAGACTCCACAGCCTCCCTGGGCAGCCTCTTCCAGGTCACGTTGGGGGATGCTCTGCCGAACCGCAGGAATCCAGGA